GGTTTAAAGACTAGACATATTAGGTAAAGTCGTTATTTAAGTGGGAGACGATGAAATGAAACTGTGAGTCAGAACTTTCGAGGAAACACTGCAGTGTCTTCTGTTTTTCAGGCGTCAGACCTGAAGCGTCATGAAAACAACATGCACAGTGAGAGGAAGCAGCTGAATCCTCTTCAGAGCGACACAGAGACCCTGCAGGCTGCTGCCATGGCTGCAGAGGAGCAACATCTGGAGAGCATGGGCTGTTCCTAACATCTGGACTAGATGAACAGCTGGAGAACAGCTGCGGTTCTCCTGCTCTGAACTGACTCAGAAACCTGAGTGTAGAATGAACTTGTGATGTCCGCCGTCATGTGATGAACATTTTATGAGCACATGTGTGCAACCACCTGTAGCTTCATGTATGATCTGTAACATGTTCTCTTTAAACACTCCATGGATGTTTTCAGTCTGAACCAAACAGCCAATCACACTGAGGAGTCAGCGTCATGAACACCGCTGGTGTGTCGTGAAGCACACACATGTTTGGGTACTGCTCGTCATGTCACTGAACTACAGGAGCCCAGAAGGAACACAGAGACCATCAGAGCTGCTGTGAAGGAGCTATGAGAAAATAAAATAAACTTCTTTCAAACTACAAGGTCAAATGTTTCATCTGTCAAATATTTTATCTGTCAGGTGTTTCATCTGCAAGGTGTTTATCTGTCAAATGTTTTATCTGCCAGGTATTTCATCTGTCAGGTTGTTTCATCTGTCAGGTGTATATCTGAAATATTTTATCTGTCAGGTGTTTATCTGCCAGGTGTTTTATCTGTCAAATATTTTATCTGCCAGGTGTTTCATCTGTCAGGTGTTTCATCTGTCATGTCTTCATCTGTCAGGTGTTTTATCTGTCAAATATTTTATCCGTCAGATGCTTCATCTGCCAGGTGTTTTATCTGTCAGGTGTTTCATCTGCCAGGTGTTTCATCTGTCAGGTGTTTTATCTGTCAGGTTTTTCATCTGCCAGGTGCTTCATCTGTCAGGTGTTTTATCTGCCAGGTGTTTCATCTGTCAGGTGTTTTGTCAGGTTTTTCATCTGTCAGGTGTTTCATCTGTCAGGTGTCAGGTGTTTCATTTGTCAGGTGTTTATCTGTTATCTGTCAGGTGTTTATCTGTCAGGTGTTTATCTGTTATCTGCCAGGTGTTTCATCCGTCAGGTGTCAGGTGTTTCATTTGTCAGGTGTTTATCTGTTGTCTGTCAGGTGTTTATCTGTCTGGTGTTTTATCTGCCAGGTGTTTCATTTGTAAGGTGTATATATATCAGGTGCTTTATCTGTCAGGTGTTTATCTGTTGTCTGTCAGGTGTTTATCTGTCAGGTGTTTATCTGTTATCTGTCAGGTGTTTTATTTGTCAGGTGTTTATCTGTTATCTGCCAGGTGTTTCATCCGTCAGGTGTTTTATCTGTC